TCCAGAGCCTCATTTGGAATAAACGCCTCTTTCGAAAACACCCCGTGGCGTATAGTTTTTCCTCGAATAAACGCCCCCTTGACTGTAAACAGATCTAATTGAAACATCATTCCCACAACTTTCTATTAATGTTATACTCCAGTAGAATTAAATTTTAATTACAGTGGAATTAAGGGACGTTTGAGTATGTACGTATCCATTTACACAAAAAAATAAATGCCTGCCTCGAATAAACACCTCCCTCGAATAACTCCCCCTCAAAAACCATTCTCAACAATAAACGCCTCAGGGCATTTATTTGCATATAGATGTGTATAAGAGACAGTATATGTATATAGAATTAAAGGCAAAATCTGAAAAAAAAACCAATGCTGTGAGAAACAATGGCTGGATTTCGGTAGCGATACAAATTTTATAAGCAACAGCTAAAAAGTAAACGTAAGTAAACAGACAGAAATAGAACCAGAGTTTTCGGACAACACTTGTCCTTTCCCAGTGGCGAGTGAGTGAATGTAGAAAAAGCTAGAAACATTTGGTTAGGTGAGATGAGAATAGACTTCGTGAACAAAGAGTGAACAAGAAGGCCAAAACAATGCTTATAAATGTATCGAAAAACGAATACAATGCAGGAAATATATTAAACTGTATAAACTATATAAATACACCAAGATATTATTTTAAATTTTTTAAACTTAAAATCAAAGCATGTTTTATGACCCATAGATCGTTTTTTAAGTCACTATATAAATAATATTACATTTTTATTAAATTAATAAAAATGATTTAGATAGAAAATTTATATAATGTATATACTGTACAGACAATAATTTTGAGAACATTAAAGGCATTAAGATCATGAATTTATATATTTAGCGATTGTTATAATAGACCTATTATTGTATTTAAATGAAAACCCATTTTACGATCCACGGATGGTTTTTAAGTCACTATATAAATAATATTACACTTTATTAAATTAATGAAAATGATTTCACTTAGCCTACTTTTAAAGAGTACTTAGATTTACATTGTTAAATGTAGGTTGCAAAAACATGTGCCTACGACTATACGGTATGTCATTACACAAAACAAATATTTAGCTCTGTTTTTTTACTGTTGTTTACATTTTCACTCAAGATATTCCGGTTTAATGCCATTGTATGAAAAGGACTCAAAACACAACACAACAATGGATACCGCAATTAAATCTAACACCATGAAGGCATACAGGCTTGTACAACTAAGTATGGTAAACTCTCTACTTACCTATATGTATATTTTCTTACTTAGAACAAACACCATTCCAAAATTCAATATTTTAGAAGATGTTTTTACGACGACGTGTCTACGACACAGTTCCGGTAGTTGACATACACGCTTGCTTCAACCGTAATTTGGATATTATGAGACAGGTGCACGACCAACCAGGTATCTGAAGGAAAATTGCTGCCAAAGACAGTAGTGCCCTAAAAGTCTAAACCTACAAATTATTAGTTCAGCGCTCACCCCTTATTAGCGTCCACCCTCGAATTGGTCAAGCGGGGCCGAAACTGTATCCGACCAGTGTGTCAAAATCCAGTTTGTTGAAACCCATGATTGCCGAATTAATTACCTCTTTGCCGAAACCCAGTTTGCCGTATCCAGTTCACCGAAATATTGACAACCCAGTTTGCCGAAACCCAGTTTTCCGAATCATTTGCCGTCACCATCGTACAAAAGTACAGCATACTCTGCTTTTGAAAACATGGATCAGGGAGGATATTTATATTCCCGTATTTGTACCCGTGTAAACGCTCCGCTTTGAATAAACGCCTCATTTGGAATAAACCCTCTTTCAAAAACACCCCGTGGCGCATATATTTTTTTCCTCGAATAAACTGCCCCTTGACTGTAAACAGATCTAATGGAAACGTCATTCCCAACACTTTCTATTAATGTTTTACTCCAGTAGAATTACATTTTAATAACAGTGGAATTAAAGGGCGTTTGAGACACAGTACGTATTCATTTACACAAAAAAAAAATAAATAAATGCCTGCCTCGAATAAACACCCTCCTCGAATAAACTCCCCTCAAAAACCATTCTCAACAATAAACGCCTCAGGGCATTTATTTGCATATCCATATAACGTTATTTTGATTGTCTATTTCTAATATTGGGGGTATAAAAAAAACCCTAAAAAACTCCCAATGCGAACACATGGATTTTTTTTTTATGCCGGGACCCTGACACAGAGGCTCTAGTCTAGTCAGGTGTATAATTGTAGATTGTTATTTATTAATTTATTTTATTTAGGTATACATATTATTATCTTTATTAACTTTATACACTTATAAATATGCTTATAAGACATTTTATCCGACAGGCCTATTTAATGATTTTTTTGCTGATAGCTAAATTGTTAATAAAGTTTGATTTACAGAATAAGACAAAACTAATAACTATAATAACAGTTATTTATTATACGAATAAAAAGTGATCGCGTCGCACTTCGCATTGGAAGGCTTCTAAATTCTCAATTTTGCAATTCTAGAATTTGCCTCTTTAACGAATAGACATGTAATAGTTTCTTTTTTTCCCCCGATAAATCATGTAATTTTCTTTCTTCTTTGAGAGTGAAAAAGAACAATTTCCAATTATGGGTGAATAAATAGATATCTATGTCTATGCCCTTATTTTCCGCTGGCTCCACCAGTTCGTACAGACGCAGTCACGGTAAAAGAGTGCTCCATCAAGAATGTTATGCTGTTTTTAATGTTTCACTGCTTTTGACTGACTTTCGGCAAAGTGGGTTTCGGCAAAATGGGATTACGGCAGAGTGGACTAGGCAATCTGGTATTCGGCAAACTGGATTTCTACAATATGGTGTAGATCCGACGAAACCTCACCGCCAGGCCCTCCCACAGCCACAGTCGGACGTAATCCAGTGACGGCACCATAGATTTTCCGATATAAAGCCTACACCCTCGGAGGTGAAGGATAGATGATCTGGGGAAACGGGATCTTGGACTTCCCGTTGAAAAATTTCGCAGGGTGAAATTTCCTGCCATGGATTGTCGAGAAATTTGGAACTTTATATCGGAACGGTGCGTCCAACAATACATGACAATACTTGCTCTGGTGTAGCTGCCGTCGCTCACATTAAATCTTCAGATCCAAAGTAAAGAATGAATTGTTCAAATCAGGTTGTTTAAAAGTACAAACGTTCAAAGCAAAATTTGTTCAAAGTCCAACACCATCATGCTCCACACAGGTTGTCCCACGAATTGTCTTTTTCTATCGATTACATCTCGACAACTAACTCATCATCTCTCAGACATCGTTATTTAACAAGTCCTAAGTCATTTTAAAGTCATTCACCATTTTTCATGGGTTTACTCCCTTTCTCAGAAACTGCAACCTTCTACATACCTACTGTCTTACACGTCCCCATCTCTTCAATCAAAATTAATAACCACGATTATTCAAGCACCACAAAAACTCACACCTTCACTTCTTCGACACTGACCTTTGACCTTTCAGATGTGTAAATGATTATAATGATGAAATTGACAGTGGTAACAATACATAAGCCTATAATTTTTTTTTTCTCCCCGACAAATTGTGTATTTTCTCCCTGAGGGATGGGGACGGGGGATTTCTTGCTGATATTTTTCAGCGATGTTTTTAGATTCACACAAGTTTAGTGCCCAATAGTCTTGTATAGGGAAAATAACAATGTCTTAACAGTAAACAATAATGTAACGGGGAATCTGAGTAGTATATATTCATTATTACCATACTTTATTTGGAACGACACTTTTACAACAGTGGCACTCGCACGTAACGGTGCGTCCAAAGAAAAACAAAACCAAGTAAATCAAAGCTTAAGAACTAAGACGAGTAAACTAAAAAAAAACAAACGTAGGCCTATGCATCAATTTAAATGTTTTACTAGGCCTAATGATCTTTCAATAACTTTTAACAGTATATTTATAATTAATTTTTAATGCCTAAATTTGACACAAGTCAACTTCTAACTTTAAATTTTATTTTACATGTCAGATGAAACACCGAAACCTCCCTGACAATAAACTTCATTGCAGTCGGGTTTCTATAAATTAATTTTTTGTTTTATATGCTTGTTTTTCCTTCTGTATTTTAGTTAATTATTGTATTCTAATTTTTTATTGACGAAATAAATTATATAATGATATATAGGCCTATGATTATTTATATCAATTCAATTTATTAATTATTATGACCAATTAGTAATACATTGAATATTTCTTTAAAGAATTCTATCAGTTTAATACTCGGAATTAATACCCATTCACCAAAAACGTTATAATTATTTAAATTAATTCATTCAAAATTGGTATAACCTGGGAAATACTACTATATCACTAAAATCTGTGTAGAGTATGGTTTTCATATCATTTCAGGGTGTACAATAATCGTTGTCGCTACAAGAACAACTGTCAAACGTCTGAATTTCGAATGTTACATCATATTCATTATCATCGCCACAGAAGAAAGTAAACTTAGTGTTTATAGTTTTTGGTGCAACTGGCATACAACATCCGCACTTGGTAACATAGTTTAAAATGTTATTTCTAGTGTCAACCTCGAAAGAGGTAATTGAATCACAATGACCCGCACAGTAGTCAAGCTCCTGAGTTGACGTGCAAAGCGTGTCGTTTATTAGCTTTTTTTCGAGAATTATCATTTGTTGATGTTTGCTACACATTTCTAGAAAATAAAACATTATGTGACTTATAAATGACCTTCATTATGCTTTGAGCCAGTCTATGATGGAAAATTAAAAAAAATATATATATTTATTTTAGAAAAAACAAAAATTGATAAAAAAATAAATCTATACAACGACTGTAACATTTTAGTATACGAAAAGAGAAATTGAGTGGTATTGTGGACTAAAAAAAATTTAAAAAAATAATAATTAAATAAAAAAGACACGCCCATAAGGCCAGTATGCAAATATTGTATAAAAAATGAAAAATATTCAAAAACAATATTTTAATAAATAAATGTCGATAACCCAAATGAAAAAGAGAAAAAAAAAAAGCCCTTGAAAACCGTAGTCATACTTCTCGAGGGCTTCGCCCCCTGGACTACTTTCGAAAGATTTTCAGCGAGGCCTGACATACTGGCTTAATTTTTTTTTTTTTTTTAATAACTAAACTTCAGTACATACCTGTAGATGTTGTAGGTATTACTTCTGTAGAAGCCGATGTAGTTGAAAAAACTAAAGTTGTGTTTTCTGCAGTCGTTATTTCAGGAGCTTGTGTGGTTGGCCCTACCGTAGTTTCGAAAGGAGCTGATGTTAAGCCTGCAGCGGTAGTTTTTTCGGCAGCGTGTGTAGTTACCCCTCCAACAGTCGTACTTGTAGAAGCTGACGTTCTGGAACCTTCATTGGTAGTTATTGCAGGAGCTCCTGTAGTTGCCCCAACAACAGTCGTACTTCCTGGAGCTGATGTTGCTAAGCCTGCAGCGGTAGTTATTGTGGCAGCATGTGTAGTTGCCCCTCCAACAGTCGTACTTGTAGGAGCTGACGTTCTGGAACCTTCAGTGGTAGTTATTGCAGGAGCTCCTGTAGTTGCCCCAACAACAGTCGTACTTCCTGGAGCTGATGTTGTTAAGCCCGGAATGGTAGTTTTTTCGGCAGTGTGTGTAGTAATCCCTCCAACGGTCGTACTTGCTGGAGCTGAAGTTGTTAGGCCTGCAGCGGTAGTTACTCCGGCAGCTTGTGTTGTTGTCCCTACAACGGGTGTACTTGCGGGACCTGATGGTTTTAAACCTTCAGCGGTAGTTATTGCAGGAGCTTCTGTAGTTGCCCTAACAACAGTCGTACTTCCTGGAGCTGATGTTGTTAAGCCTGCAGCGGTAGTTATTGAGGCAGCATGTGTGGTTGAACCTACAACAGTCGTATTTCCTGGAGCTGACGTTAAGCCTGGAACGGTAGTTTTTTTGGCAGCATGTGTAGTTACCCCTCCAACAGTCGTACTTGTAGGAGCTGACGTTCTGGAACCTTCAGTGGTAGTTATTGCAGGAGCTCCTGTAGTTGCCCCAACAACAGTCGTACTTCCTGGAGCTGATGTTGCTAAGCCTGCAGCGGTAGTTATTATGGCAGCATGTGTAGTTGCCCCTCCAACAGTCGTACTTGTAGGAGCTGACGTTCTGGAACCTTCAGTGGTAGTTATTGCAGGAGCTCCTGTAGTTGCCCCAACAACAGTCGTACTTCCTGGAGCTGATGTTGTTAGGCCTGCAGCGGTAGTTACTCCGGCAGCTTGTGTTGTTGTCCCTACAACGGGTGTACTTGCGGGACCTGATGGTTTTAAACCTTCAGCGGTAGTTATTACAGGAGCTTCTGTAGTAGCCCCAACAACAGTCGTACTTCCTGAAGCTGATGTTGTTAAGCCTGCAGCGGTAGTTATTGCAGAAGTTTTTGTAGTTGCCCCAACAACGGTTGTACTTGCGGGACCTGATGGTTTTAAACCTTCAGCGGTAGTTATTGCAGGAGCTTCTGTAGTTGCCCCAACAACAGTCGTACTTCCTGGAGCTGATGTTGTTAAGCCTGCAGCGGTAGTTATTGAGGCAGCATGTGTGGTTGAACCTACAACAGTCGTACTTCCTGGAGCTGACGTTAAGCCCGGAACGGTAGTTTTTTTGGCAGCATGTGTAGTTACCCCTCCAACAATCGTACTTGTAAGAGCTGACGTTCTGGAACCTTCAGTGGTAGTTATTGCAGCAGCTCCTGTAGTTGCCCCAACAACAGTCGTACTTCCAGGAGCTGATGTTGTTAAGCCCAGAATGGTAGTTTTTTCGGCAGCGTGTGTAGTAATCCCTCCAACGGTCGTACTTGCTGGAGCTGAAGTTGTTAGGCCTGCAGCGGTAGTTACTCCGGCAGCTTGTGTTGTTGTCCCTACAACGGGTGTACTTGCGGGACCTGATGGTTTTAAACCTTCAGCGGTAGTTATTACAGGAGCTTCTGTAGTAGCCCCAACAACAGTCGTACTTCCTGAAGCTGATGTTGTTAAGCCTGCAGCGGTAGTTATTGCAGGAGCTTTTGTAGTTGCTTCAACAACGGTTGTACTTGCGGGACCTGATGGTTTTAAACCTTCAGCGGTAGTTATTGCAGGAGCTTCTGTAGTTGCCCTAACAACAGTCGTACTTCCTGGAGCTGATGTTGTTAAGCCTGCAGCGGTAGTTATTGTGGCAGCATGTGTAGTTGCCCCTCCAACAGTCGTACTTGTAGGAGCTGACGTTCTGGAACCTTCAGTGGTAGTTATTGCAGCAGCTCCTGTAG